CAAGGCTCTTTAGACACCCATATTCAAGCCCACTTTATTTTGCTGTAACATTACATAAAACAAGCTGTCCAAGAGCGTTCAGTGTGTATTTGGAAGAAAAGATTTAGTGTTGAGAAAAAGACTAAAGGAAACCAGAGTGCTCCATGCATTGTTTAAATTAATTGTGTACATGCATTATGCATGTCTTGATTTATGTCCAGTTGTATATAAATGGAAATCTTAAGGTTAAATATAGCCTCTGTATGAAAAGACTGCTCCTCTTTTTCAAAATCATTTACGGTTCCTACATTGAATGTGGTATCAGACCAAACTTAAAGCTCTTCAAGATTTCATCACTCTCTTTAATCAAAGAAAAGCTAACATTACCACTCAGAGCTTTGTCAAGTTGATTGGATTTCTAGCCAATTCGATGATAATCCTTTAAATTCATAAAAGCAATTCTATGCTAAAAATCTCAGCAGCCCCTGAACACTAAAAGCACCCAATAAAGAAGAACAAAAAACAAACAAAACAAACAAACAAACAAAAAATCGCACTTAGAACAAGAAGCAGCTGTCTGTTCACTCAAGTCCCAAACTGATTAAAAATATTTTTTATGTGGTCTGGTGTGCTACAACAGTTGCAAGCCCATCAGCACAGCGCTATTCATTATCTACACTTGCTCTCAATCCTCAAGTGAAGTCAGCATTGCTGCTGTGAAGGTGACAGTGTGACAGAAGTGAGCTATCCACCACTTGGTGTAATTGCCATGAATTGTTTAACTTGGGCAGCCCTGAATTGGTCAGGCAGTTGGACTAGATGACCGTTGTAGGTCCCTTCCAACTGAAATAGTCTATTCTATTCTATGCTATTTCTGACTCTCATGAGACTATGGAAACATAACTCAGATCCACCTGTTTCTTTTTTGTTCCAAGATATTGTTTAAAAATGCTGTCTGCAACAGTATGTTATCCTTTCACTCAGCTACAAAAGTGGAGGTGGAAACTAATAACCTACTCCTTAATTTGGAAGGTAATTGGCTATTAATAAAGAATTCTATCTTCTCATCTTATTGCTCTCTAAAAAGTACCAAAGATCCTTCTGGTCACCAAATTCATAATCTCATTTTAGTCTGGACATACTGACACATGTATGGCCACGGTAAAAATATAAGTACTAAATTTTACACAATTCAGAACCTCTGTCTCAACTGTGTTGCTGACTTCCTGGTAAAAGCATTTTTGGGTTGCAATCCTTTAGGACTTAAAGCAAAGGCCAAATGTTTAAAATCAGCTAAACAGGCAGCATCATTCCCAGTTTGCAGCTAATTGACTGATCTCTCGGGGTTACAGGCTCACTGAGCCCAGCATGAACTCACTAGAGTTTCCTATCATTAAAACAATAATAGCAAGGAAAAGAAAAGATAACATGGTAGGAAGTCTGTTTAACTGTTAAGGGCACAACATGAATCAAGGAAACAATAGCTAAGCAAACTAGACTGCAGGTTGAATGGAACTGTTCAAGAAAAAAATATATGTGACTTTAGAGTGAGTTGCCATTGGAACTTGAACTGGTTTTCCTTCTTTTTTTTTTTTTTTTTATTTCTGACTGGCTTCATTTGGTACTAAAACTGAGGTATGAAATTACCTCCTCATGTCTGCAAGAGACAGTCAACTGTACTTGAACTGGAAAACAGTTTGCACATCACATTCTGCACTGGCTGAACAGGAGCTGCAACAATGAAATCCCAGTTATCATGAAAATGACCCAGGAATGGAAAACATCTGAAAGGTATACATACAATCCTTAGGGATCTGTGCTTTGAGATGATGATAAGCCAAAACCCAGAGACTGCTATGAAAGAATGGCATTAATTTCATAATTAATTTGAATGATTATAGTAACTGTTGGCAGCTGTGTAACTTGGAGTTAGGTTTTTCTGGCTCTGCGTATATTCTGGATTTATGTTACACAAAAGCACACCTATACATGTATAGGTAAACATACATATGCATGGTTTTCTTCTGCTCCACTTGTCACTCCTTACTCTTCTGATGATCCACTTCCCTGCAACGTAGTACTGCATTTGCAGAAACAGAAAGCCTAGTATGTTACTCTTGCCGATAACAATGTCTGTACTCTGACAGAAATATTTAGAAAAGCAGCACAAGTGGCAGCCCTGTCATTTTGTCAGCGTTGTCTTGGATTAATTTCTTTCTCCACTGAATCAAAACTAGCCTTCCCTATGATTCTTTCAGAACTAAGAATAAATCTGTGAAAGATCCTCAGCTAGTTACTGGAAAATTCCATACTAGAAATGGATATATACTCTTCATAGATGAACCCTGTATTTTGACCACACCCTGATGTATTGAAGCTGGTCAGTCAGTTCAGCCGTACTGAAATAGTCAGAATTCTGTCTTCAACCACTAATGTCTCACAACTGCCGTACATTAAATGCCATGGCTGTCAGGCAAAGAACTGCTTTGCCAATCATATATTCATACAACTTCCACACCATCCGTAACCATCACTGACATACCTGTCAATCAGTTGATCTGGGAATTAACAGAGTTATCGCTGGCAAAAACATGTGCATAGCTCATTCTATGTCCAGAAACAAGTGCTGCTTTGCTTGAGTCACTTTTTCAAACATCGTTGGTCATCATTCAGCACTGCTCTCCACCAAACCAAATTTGAATCTTATTTTTTGGAAAAACTGTAGAAATTGATTGAAAAATAGAACCTCACCTGCCTATTAACTGTCAAAAGACGGCCAGAGATTCACCACATCAGAGTCATCTTATGCCATTAATAAATATGGCAATTAATTTTCACTTTCCTGTATTTACCTGTAACTATCTGAAAGATCAGTTTAGTCAGAGAACATTGTACACTCAAAATGTTACTACAGTCTTACATCTTACACAATACCTGCATGAAGTCAATTCTTAATTAAAGAACATTAAGAGGCTGTAGAATAAATCCACAAGGATTACATTCATAAATATCCTCAGAAGATACAAAAGGACAGAAGAAAAGTATCAGACTAAAAAAATCTGGTTATCAGATTGAAGAACAGGTCAGTCCTTAAAGAAACTAAATAGTAAGTAGCTGGAGCCACTTCTTTCTATTATTCTTTCTTATTAACTAACATCAACCTGGTTTTCTCAAAATTCATTGCAATTCAGCTTGTAACTCACATGCTGCTACCAAGTAAAGTACAGATCCCATTACTTCAGTGACCAAGGCTGCCTTTGCTCCCCATAATGGTCAATGAGCATAAAGTATTTAAGTTCACATCAATTCTGATTTAGAAAATAGCCTAAAGAAAGCTATCATCTATATTTAGTTGAACTGAAAAGATAGTCAATTGAAAAATTCTGGCAATGATAAAAATGTTTACTTGCTTGTCCCAGTAAGACTTTTGTTTGTTTCATATATAATAGCCCAGCTTCAGCGAGCCCAGAATTCACTTTTTGAAGGCAGGATCAGCACAAAACTTCATGTTTCCTTCAGCTAATTTGTTCCATCATCTCTCTGCAACTCTGTTCAAGCCAGCTCAGCCACATTATCACAGTCCTCAGCAGGCACAGAATATCCACTTAATGACATCTATTACTTCTGCTGTTACATTACAGCAACTCTTCTCTGTGCCTCCTAACATTTCACCCAGTCTGTCCATCTGGCATTTCCTAAGCCCAGACTAGGGTTTTTTTTTTGTCTTGCAAAAGATATAGCTGCAAAGTTAGTCCCAGAAGTTCGACATGAAAAATGAAGACATCCCTCCATCTTTCTTGTTTTCCTGGAGAGTTTAACTAGGCTTACAGTTTTAGGCGTGAGAAAAGTGAGAAAAATACAATTTGAAAAATCTTGCATATGAAAGACACCAGAGACATAAGTAAGTCAGTCAGCTGCACAAAATACTTTTTTTAAGCTGCCTAAAAAAAATTACACCTTTTATTTTTGCTGCTTATTATTTATTCCTAACATATCACATATTTTTAACTTTCCTCCTCTTAACACATTATGAAATTAGGTATAAAAAAGCATCTAAAATTTAAATCATCATTAATGTGCTGTAGAGATTGTCAGAACAAACAAGCACACATTCAAAGAGAAAAAATTATAACAGATTTGTTATAGTGACACGTAGTTATTTCACTTTTAACACTTTTTTTTATTCCTCCCCCTCTCCTCCTTCCTCCTTTTTTTTTTCTTCATAAATTATTGATATTTGTTCCAGGAAGTTTAACATTGTACAAAAAGTTAACAACAATCATAGCTTTAGGTATTGCTTGTCTTGCATGGCTGAGGATTTTCCTCTAAGCATTGCAGATGTAAATGTAATGGAATATAAAAGTATGAGTTCACACCAAAGATAAGATTCATCCTCTTGCTTTTCCTGAGGTACCCAGTTTGAGCTACTCATTCGGGCTTCCTGCACAATCACTGGTAAAAGACATGTATCTTCAGAAGGTGATGAAACTTACCTGTCTTAGGATAACCTGAGAAACCCTCCCTCTCCATTGACACACAGCTGGCTTAGGTTTCAATGTTCAGGTTAGGCGAGATGAATCCCAGCTGAAAGAACCCATGGACTCATACATTTGCCTGCACATTTAAAAGTGTATTTGTTCTTAACAAAGTCGGACTACACTCATAGCCAGAGAAAATTAACTTGCTGAGTTACACAGCTGCCAACAACAATTATAAAGAATGTCTGGTTTACAAAACAGAATTAATGCACATTTACCTAGCCTTTTTTCTTCTTTTAAAATATACAGAAAAAAAGGCTGTTCTCCAAGTAAACAAGAGAAAAAAGTTTTCAGTACCCTTTAACAGGTAAAATAGCTCTTTAACAGGTAAATAACAGGTAGATTTGAGTAAAACTTATTAAAACAAGAGTGATGAAACTGAATCTGTAAGGGAAACTTTTGTGGAAGGCAGATTGAAAAATTCTACCTTGGTTAGCATTTAGATAATTCCATAAACAGTTTATAAATATGAAAGAAACATACCTGGCATCAACTCAGCAGTAGGGAATATCTTCTCCTGCTTCATTTTACTTTCATGTAATAACTCTTCTTTGGTTATTGGAAGGTCTAGAACATCTCGAATAATCTGTGCCCCTTCAAGGGCTTTTTTACCCATGACCAAGGATTTCACATCCCAGGTATAGGTCTTTCCAAAACGCCCACAGATCTCTTCGAACACTACTGTATAGAGATGCTCAGTATCTGCCAAAAAAAAAAAAAAAAAAAGATTAAAACCAGGTACAGCCAGCTAAGCAGCCAATCCTACAAGGAGGACCACATAAACGGTAAGAGCGAACTGCCAGGAGCCAGAGGGCATATCAAAGTGGACAAAATTGCCTCCCTTTATTTGCAGAGGGGAAGCCAGACTTCTAAGATCACCTCAGAGGTACCTAGGTTTTTCAAGCTGTCACTTCTGTGTTAAGAAAAGGTTACTGAAGGTCACAACAAAGAACTACCTGGACCTGCTCTTTCATCACTTTTCTTTACTCTACAGGTTAACAAGCAGTGTCTTAATTAAAATATTCTATCCTTTACATGAGAAAGAAAAGAAAGGAAGGAAATCTGGTACTTGGGGGATGTCATTACATATTCCATGTAAATTAAAAAAAAAAAAAAAAGATTTAATTATTTAAGAGTGTCTTTGAATGGAAGCTTCAGAGTGCCTTCAAAGACACTACAATCATTATTATAGTGCTGCTGGCATCTCTGCATTTACATGTGATTACTCAAGCACAACACACCCACTTGTATTTCCAGGGGGTTTCTGGCAAGAGTAAACTTCAGGCTGAATTTTGCCAGTGAAACTATCAGCTTCTATGTCAAAGGTATTTTTAGTTTTCAAACTTTTTTTTTTTTTAAAATACAAACAAACAATCCTTCCTGTCTTTCCCCCCAGACAAATCTTTGAAAAAGAAGTTCAATAACATTTAATTTAATGCCAAAACGGGGAATAAAGTTCCTTTCAACTTTTGGCTTCATTTCAGCAAAGATGTTAAACAGTGGCTTTTCTACCAGTCTGTTTATCTTTTTAAGTAGTCTCCTTTCAAACGCCAGCTACTGCTGTTAACCATGCTTTAATTTCCTTCTCATGCATGTCTTTGGCTTCTGTATCTCTAAAGCCATGTTTATTATTACTACTTTAGCAATGAAAGGCAAAAGCGAGAAAAGTAAGTAGTTGCTCTTATGACATTTATTTAGAGAAATTAGGGACTTCACTTACCAACATGTCCTTTGCCATGTAAAAATATTTTATAGGGATAATAAAATAGTGAAATTATTCACGCGGACATTGCCTCACTTTCTGAATATATAAGAAGTATGCAACAGAGTTTAAGCTTTAACATAGATACTATGAAAACGACAGACTGAAGAAAGAAGAGCAGAGCCCATGACTACAATATACGCAAAGATCTTCTCTTAACCACAGTAATCTGCTTGTCCTGAGACCAGCAGATGATTCCGATCTGAAATCAAATGAGAAACATAGGGGCCATTTCCCATCATCGCACCTACCATCATGTGAACACATAGCAGTGCAGAAGACACACACTGCCACCTGCCAGAGCACTCTTCTCCATGTTCCCCTTCAGTAACTAGAAAGGATGTTGAGCCAAAAGATCAGCTAAAGACCCAGCATACTTATCTGGACTGCTTAACAGGGCAGACAAGACAAGGTTCACAAAAACTTCTTAGCTTAAAAATGAAAGGAAAAAAAGAAAAAATAGCACCTGTACTACTCTTTGCAAATGCTTCTTAAACAACGACACTTACGGAAAGAAGAGTAATCCTGGAGACCCATAAAAGACACAGGAAAGGTATCACAGCAGAAACACAAATAACTGGGCTTTGAAAATGTTAAGCTGGCTAACACCAGGAAGGTAAAAAACCACAACAAAAAAATCCCCCAATTTGCTTGATACTGCCAGGTGGTACTCCCTGCAAGCTGAGAAGGTGAATTAAGAATACAGTGTTTAAAATTTCACAGTTCTGTCTTTCCTTTTTTTCTGATACACTAATTTTTCTTCTATATCTCAGACTCACCAGGTGAAGGACATAAAATTCTTACCCTAAGTTTAAAATTGAAACTGGAAATTAATCCTCATCCTATTAGGAAATACATAGCAAACTAAGCAGAAATAAAACAAAACAAGGAATCAAAAAGTATAATTGTAGAACATGAAAATTTTCCTACAGGTCTCTACGATAATCACGTTAATCTATTTGAAAGTGAAAGACTCAACTGTATAGCTAAAGATACTCAATTTAATAGCCTCCTGCTTTTTAAATATCACATACCAGACTTGTGAACAGAATTTTCTTTTTCTTCTTAAAGAAATGCTTAATTATGTCCAGACTGCAGACCTAAAAATAACCTGTTATGCAATGTTGCAGTTTGCCAACTGAAGAGCACTCATGAACAAGTTTGAGTCAAATCTACTAAAATAGTTAATTGTTAACTTATTTGTATTGTGTTAGAATTTAGTTTTTCCTTTTTGCTGAGGGAAAAAAAAAAAAAACACCACACACAAAACAAACAAAAAAGCACCCAAACTGGTCAACACACCTCAACTGATCACTGCCTACGTTTAATTTAAATGTGAGTTAGTCTCACATATTACTCAAGTATGAGTAAACATAAGCATTATGTTTAAAGCAACATAAATGTTTAAACAAGCAGGATGTCAGAAAGCCTTCTTTCCTTCCCTCTCCTCATTAATTATCCGTTAAAAGAATTGGCTTACAAAACCTCCAACTTTTCTTTCAAAGAGATCACTTTCACTCTGCCTGAAATCACAGCATTTGGACCTTGGACATCAACTTGGTTGCAATGAAAGTTATCATCATCTCAAGATTCATGACCTCTTGTAAGATTCTACGTATTTGTAATTCTTGAGAAACAACGTGATTTTAATTCTCATGATTGGATGACAAAAGCATAGATGTGGACATTTTACTGGTTTGAATAGACGTGTTACACTACAGCATATGAATAAAAACTGAAATCTGAGGAAAAGAATTACACACACGAGCACACACACACACTGCAAAATCTCCAATTGGAATCTGTGTGCTGAAAAAGCTGCACTTCCTACATACATGTATAACAGATAAGAACATATGTTCCTTTTGACTGAAGACAAAGGAAAATCTGTATGTCCCCTTTATAATTAGACAGCAGTAAATAAATACTAAATAATGATACGACTTCAAGATTTCTTATTCCCATTAAAATGGAGGAATCTCAAAAAAAGCAATATACAAGGTAGGCTAGCTTTTTCGTCATTGTAACAAGAAATAAACCATAGCACAACTGATTGATCAGAGTTGAAGTATAGCAAAGAATCATAATTTCAAACTACTATAAATCTGCAATACAGTAAGAAATTAAATCTCATGCACACACATGAATATAACACATCAATGAAATAAAACAAGCAAGAGGAATTAGAAGTTCAACTCAAGTGCCTAATTATAAGCACCTACTGGTACCTTAGACACCCTAATATGTCCAAGACATCCACACACAGCTGACATTAAAAAAAAAAGTAATCTGGGTGAGACTCATACCTTACTGCATGAGCAGCCAGATGCCCTACAGCATCCCAAGTGGTAATAAACACATACATTTCAGCCTCAGCTGCTATCTCCCATCAGGAATACAAGCTGAGGACACAGCAGGACACAGGTGGCAGTGGCCTGTTCTAACAGGGGGAAGGAAAAGCAAGACTTCTTAGCTCCCGCAATTTGCAGTAAGTGTATAACCTCAGTTTCATTCTCTTCTGCCTTTCAAAATACTCTTCATCTTTCTAGCTCTCGTCCCTTGATAAATCTTTTACATGGACATTATCAGCACAACGTACTGTCCATCCACTCACTACATTTCACTGGGAATGAGTGATATTCATTCCCTAGCCACATATCATCTTCTAGTCATTTTTATAGCAACCCTTCTTCTATATAAAAAGCACAGTCAACTCCACTGGTGCTGTTTACAGTGTGTAAAAGCCAGTCACAATAAATACAAATAAAGTGACAAAAATGACAGAGGCACTGGATTACTCAATTTGTGATCTGGCACAAAAATATGCTGACGCATATTCAGAAACACCTACAGGTCACTTGGATTCAGACCACAGTGCATAACTGAAGTGTATGATCTGCTCAAATCACTGCAGAGTCAGAACCAGAAGTGCAGATCTACCTAGGTCGGGGGTACAGAAAGCATCAATGCCGTATCTAAACATCAGCTTTGTCAACCACTTACTTACACATGAAGACAGCCTAAGAGAAAAGATTATGACTTCATGAATGAATGTGGAACTTAACTTTTTCAGAAGGTCATACAAGGTCATACACCTTCTGAATTTATTAAAATTATTTTATTATAATTCTAAAATAATCTCCAGTTTATCAAGGAGATGAGGTTAGTAGGCATGAAAGCTCATCTTAACCATCGGTTCCGAGTTCTTCTTTGTTTGAATAACCCATCCCATCTTTGCATCAAGCTTCCCAGATGAAATACACCTATGATTTATCCTGCTGCTAGGAGTCTAAACAGAATTTTAATTGTGTACAGCCAGTATATTCCAGTAAATCAAAATCAGATCCCGGACACCTAAACTCTGCAAGATTTTTATTTTGATGGGGGATAGAGAAATGGTTAAAGGGAAGAATTTTAATTCAAGCAATAGGTTTCTTATGTCCATACCTGTGAGGCACATTTCTGCCCATGTGTAGAAGAGAACCATCTTCAGTATTCAATTTAGCCAAATTCAAACACAATTAGTCATTTTTACCAAGATTTTGGCCCAAGATTGAGAAAATCTCATTAGATTTTGTCCCCATCAATACTGAATGAACACACAGATGACTATGATTTTGCTTTCCTATCAGTCTTTCACAATATTCCTTTAATCTCTTCACGGTATGCAACAATGTAAGAAGCCATACAAATTACTGAAATGCTCATTTGGGGTACAAGAGATAAATAAAATTATAGAAGTGGGAATTTTTGCTTTGCTTTTTGCAACTCAATTGGTGGCATTTAGCACAGCATAAAGTGTCAACTTGCAAACAAATTATGCAATTGTTGAAATGGTGGGGGCAATCAACATTCCAGAGAGTATTAGATGTTTCTTCTACTCATGGTAAAAGTAATAGTAATGACATTTACATTTTCTCTCATCTCTGGATTTAAGTGT